TTTCCTCTCTGGCTATTTCAGGGAGGCCCAGTTTCCCTGGACACCATTTATTATTATGTTGTTTAATAGCTGAACAAGCTCAGATAACAATAATCTAATAATTGATGTGTTTCACTTATCTCAAGACAACTGCAGAGACCAGAAATCTAAGCCAGTTTCTCCTGACTCCCACATCCAGACACAGATGGACTCAGGCCAGTTTGTATCAAAGCACTGTTGAGGGACAGAGAAGACCACACAGAGTCACCACGTCTGCACACGCCACCAGAGAAGTAGCCATGAGATACATGCCCAAAAAAGATTCAGGATTCTTTCCAAACTGAAAAGTTAAAACCTGTTTGCACATTGGCAGAGGCTAGAAGGGACATGCAAACTGAGCAGGATATTTTGCCACCATGGTGGGATTGTTTTCCCCCATCTGTGTCCCAGCCCTCCTGTAACAACATGTGTATGGTGAAGGGCAATGAATGAGCACTGGAAGAAGCAGTTCTGCTGGTTTAGACCCCAGCATACCAGCGTAGAAAAGTCCACTTGGTGTGGACGGTTGGTGCTGGCATGGGCCAGGCTCCTTTTCAGGCCTGAGATCCTCCAACTTCTACACTATCTTCAGGCCTCCAGAGTTTTTTTTCTGGCACCCTGGGCTAAAACAAATACCTACTCTTCATGTTCTAAGACATTCTAGCCATTTGTATTCCTTTCCGATGGCCACTATAGCAAATTACTATGCATTTAGTGGTTTAAAACAACACACATTTTTTTGTTGTTGAACTGGTCTCATGAACTATTTTCTGGGGCTGCCCCAACACCGAGAGCCATGCCCTTTGGTCAGGGCTGAGCTGGGAGGTGGTAGTTTGTCCTCCTGACAACTGAAATGCAGGTGCAGAAGTGAAACCCACAGGACACACTTCAGAAAGGTGATTTGGCCACACCTATGTCACCAGCCTGAAGGATGTTCACACCCTGTGACCAGCACTCCCTGTCAAGGAGTGCATCCTGGAGGCACTGGGCACAGCCCTAAGGGGTGAGGTAACACCCCTTAGCAGTAGCTTTGGTCTGGGTGTTGGGGATGTGACTGAGGCAAGGCAGGTGATATCTTCCCACACTGGGAGGCCAGGACCCTGGGAAAGACCTCAGGGGAGGGGGGGAGAGTTAAGAGCCGCTGCCCCTCTCACACACACTCCAGGATGCTGGTGCTGAGGCCTGCCTCCCTCCCAGGTCTCCCTGTTGCCCTGAGCACTATCCAGACCCCCTGCAGTCAGCAGGGCCTCCTTCACCCTCTTCTCCCATGAGCAACTGACCTCAGTCGGAGGAACCTTAGGGCCTGTGTGTGCTCTTCCCTCAGCCAGAAGGCCCTGCGGCAGGTCTGCTGCATTCCCTCCTTCCTGCTCCCTCCTTCCCACTCCCTCCCAGACTGTCAGGGATAACCTGTACCCTGCAGCTCTCCTTTGGCTTTATTCTCTTCACCATCTCCTCCCCCATCCCTGCCCCTTGGTGGTACACAGATGCCCTGCAGGTCTTACTGATGACTGTGTCTCTAGCTTCCTGCACATAGCTGACTCAGGATGGGTGCTCAGTATCTGTGGCAGGGTGCACAGGAAGGGGTGGTTGTGAGGGCTCAGTGGGGCACTGGACTAACTTCTGCCAGGGCCTTTGACCTGAATGATGAAGTGCATTTGGGGGAGGCCTGTGGGGCTTCAAGAAGCCTGGGGACCACTGCACTCTGGATGATTCCTCTCTGGCTGAAAACCCCGCTGCTCAGGGCCTGGGGAGGCACTCAGAACCTTCTCATACTTGGATTGAGGTGTCACCCACAGATGCAGGGGACTACCACAAAGTGTTCTGAAATGAGTTTAAGTTAGTTGCCACTTCCAAAATTGGGAGATTGCATGTAGTGCCTTTCAGCATTCCTTAGAAAGTTCTGGAAGATCTGGTAGCAGTGGGTCTGCACTCCCTAATGATACCCCTGGCTGACTCTGAACAGCTCTATGCCCTCCAGCCATCCCAGACTGTCACCTGGGCTTGGCATGTGAGAGTGATGTGATGGTCACCTTGTCTTACCTGGACGCTTACACTTTATGTATCCTTCCTGGAGTGGAGGAGGGGCTGCCCTTCGGGCCCTTACCATTTCACCATGCTATCCTAGTTCATGAGCAGGGCTGGCCATCCTGTCTGCTCTCCTGAGAGCGAGGAGGTCCCTGCACTGAGCGTCCCCAGGGGCAGGGGTCATGGAGCATGCTGCCCCACACAGGGCCTGTGGCCAGCCTCTTGGCCCCTGTGCTTCCTCTTACTTTGTGCCTCTCAGTAACTTTGTCATCTCCTTTCTGAGTCCACAGAGGGGGCACTGGGCAGCCCAGGCTTCTGGGAAAGTCCAAGCTGGATGGGGCCTAGCGTGCCCAGGCTGGGTGGAAGTGACCTCAGTGAATGCGGTCTCCAGCCTCTAGTGCTGTGGGCAGGTCCGTGAGGCCTTTCTGACTACTTGACCTTGTTTCCTTTTCCTCTGAGCTGTCATGGTTTGCCAGCTGCATTGTTAGGATAATGAGCAAAAGAAGAAGGGAAATCGCCCTGGAATAAATTTCTGAGTTATTTTCTAGCCCTTTCGCACACTATTCATAGTTCTAATTATAGCAGAGTTGAACTCCTCTCACTTCAGTTTTCCCAGAGCAGGGGATGGCGCAGGAGGCATCTGTATTTGTCTGCAGGAAATGTTGCCTACTCAACTGTAAATCCAGTGGTTAGAGTTTGGTTTTTGTTTTATTATGTTTACATGGTCCTCCACCCCTAGTTTATCAGGATTATGAATGCTATTGCCGTGAGCATTTTTCCCCACATAACTGGTTTTTTTATTGTTTTGGATTATTTTCTTAAGACAAATTCCAAGCATTTGAATTCCTGACTTAGAAGAGAGAAAAAAATCAGAATTACAGACATTAAAATCTTTCTAAGGTCTTATTTATTCTGACTGCCAGCAGCATTTGAGAATATTAGCTTCACTGTAATTTCACCAGTGTTTCAGTTGTAATTTTTCATTTTTTGTAACTCAGTGGCCTAGTTTGTTATAATTTGCATATCCATTAAAATAGTTTTGCATTAGAGTGAGTGAATTTATAAGGTAGACAGGATTAACTAATGTGCCTACCCTATTTACACCAAGCATCTTCCTGGGGTGTGTTTTCCCATGTTTCATATCAGACTCATTGTCATGGGTATGATTTTCTGCTCTTTGGAGAGTACGAATGGTTTTCTTTTCACGTGGGGGGCAGGGAGGCAGTACTGGGATTTGAACCCAGGGCACTGCACTTGCTAGGCAGGTGCTCTGCCACTTGAACCATTCCCTGAATGCCCCAACACCTTGTTGGGTTTTTGGTTTTGGTTTTGTTTATTTGGCTTAGTTATTGTTTGAAGAGGGTTTCACATTTATGCCAAGCTGGTCTGGACCACAGTCCTCCTACTTACTCTTCCCACATAGCTGGAATGACTGGTGCATGCCACCACACACAGCTTTTATTGGTTGTGATGTGATCTCACAAACTTTTTGCCTGAGCTGGACTCAGAGTGTGATCCTCCCAGTCTCTGCCTCCTGAGTAGCTAGGACAACAAGTGTGAGCCACCATGCCTGGCAGAGAATATGGTTTTCTAAAGGACTTTAGACATCTAACCCAGTGTCACTGACACAGCCAGAGGACATGACTGGGAGAGAGGGCCAGGCACCCTCCTTAGTGTCATGCTGTCAGAGCTGCCACACATCCTAACACTGTCCTGGCCTGGAGAGTTCTATAGAGGCAAGGCTTGGCTCATTTTCATTTTGGACTGAAGCAGCTTTGTGGGCTCTGATGGACACCCACTGTTGCCCCTGTGGTGACCTGGAGCCAGCTGTCCATCTCTCTACTCAGGGAATTTAAATATTCCTCATTTCATGGCATTTGGTGGGCTCCATATCAGCTCTGTGGGCGTTAAGATCTCATGACAGAGCAGAACTTGCCTCAGAAGATGCTGTTGGTGCGTCGTTACCCACAGCAGCCCTGTCCCCAGCATGTGGCCTCTTGGCTATGTAGAATCTGTCTGACAGGCATGCAGGAGGGTAGACTTCACTCCCCACTCTGGGGCTGGCCATCCAGGGCCTCTGCCTCATTAGGCTGGCTGCCCCTTGATACGGTAGGTAGGAAGAGCTCCCAGGATGGGCAGCAACCAGCAGTCGGGGACCCAGTTTGGAAGCTGAGGTTCTAATCTCAGCTCTGATGCTGAGTGACCTGTGTCTCCCACTCCCCTGACCCTGTGAGCACGTTCATGGTCAGGTCTGTCCATCCATTCAGCCAACATTCAACAAGCACTCAGGCCAGAGTCTTTGCTGGGCAGTTATCAGTGAGTCTAAATGAAATACTGGAGGCAGGGCAACAGAGTACTCAGTAATTAGTCTTGATAAGGGGTGGAACAAAGCTTCTCAGAAGACCAGGAGCCAGAAGGCGACTGTCCCCCAAAGTCCATGTGGCTACAGGTCAGGGAGAGAGGGTTTGAGAAACATGCCAAGAGGCTGGGCAGTTCCTGGCGTGGCTGGAAGAATGGGAAGAGAGGAGTCCCAGAGGTTAGGTGTGCCCTGCTCCCACAGCCTCAACGATAGCCAGCCAGTGGGTACAGCATCCCTGGTGATTTTCCCCTGCCAGTCCAGGCTGGGCATTTTTACGTGCTGGCCATGAACTTGGTCTGGTGTGCTGGAGTGGGCAGAGAACAACAGGTGTGGTGTCCTGAAAGTCTGCTGCATAGCTCAGAAGGCCTGGTTGTGGGTGTTATTCCTTATTTATTGAGCACCCATGGCATGCCCACATGAGGTGGGGTCAGCAGGAAAGTGGCAGTGGTGCAGAGGCACCCCAAGTTCTGCAAGTGCTGGATCACTGTCCTTACAAAAGTGGTGCCCTTGTTCACTAAGCCACTTGTGGTTGCTGAATTGCCTGCAGGGGAGGAAGGGCATCTCATGATGATGTTGTTGACGTGTGTTTCTATCCTAGATGACTTAGGCCACTGAGCTGCTCCTGAGGACCCAGCTTTGGTGGTCAGCAGCAACGACGCCACTCACACCTTCCTGAGGGCCCCACCAACACTGAGAGAAGCCACTCTGTGGGCTCCGTCCATCCTTCTTGGCAGCGCACCCATCATGGAGGCCCCCGAGGTTCCCGTGGGCTCCCTGATTGACTTCGGGACTGAGCCACCAACCTCCCCTTCCATGGAGGCAGTTCCTCCAACAGTGCAGGATGGAGATGGCTCCCTGGATGATGGTGCATCTGAGAGTGAGGCCACAGAGTCAGCGGACAGTGAGAATGACATGGGCGAGTCGCCCTCACACCCGTCCTGGGACCAGGACCACCGCTCCTCCTCTAATGAGTCCTTCTCCTCCAACCAGAGTGCTGAGTCAGCCCCTGACGAGGAGACCCTGGCCCTCCGGGAATTCATGCGCAGCTATGTGGAGAAGGTCTTCTCTGGAAGGTAGGCCATGAGGGGACAGCGGCCTTGCCACCAGCAGGGGACCACCTCCTACTGTAGGCTCTGCCTTTCCCTAGGGACCACTGCAGTGACTCAGCCCATCCCACACTATATGGAGAGTCACCTGGGAGGTTTTAAAGGATACCCGGACCTGACCTTCCTCAGGAGCAGCTGCCCCAGAGTGGGGTGCAGCATGTCACGAGCATGCAGCTGCCTAGGAGCTGCCATGTTGAAAGCCTTAGGGACAGATGCTCACCAAGATGGCCAGCTCACAGGCCAGGCAGGCACAAGGGTGGCCACAGAGGGACTGACCCACAGCTCAGCTCTGTGTCCATGGCTGCCCAGCCCTGGACAGTCCTGTCAGCACTGGGACACAGAGCAGGAGTGGACCGTCCATCTTACTTCCCCTCGTTTTCTCATTTTTCATCCCCTGAAAGCCTCCACTGGCCATCATGGGTAGGGCTGTCAGCCATGTTGTCTTCAGAAGTCTCTTACAGTGTGATTTGTTCACACTATGGCCACATGGACAGAAAAAACCATGCAGGAAGGCCAGACCAACACAGGTCCTCCCAACTCCCATAAGCTCTGCTAACTGCTGACACGTATGGTTCCAGAATCTTCTCCATGCATCCCAGAGTCAGATTTGGAAGTCAGGCTCTGTCTCTGAGGGGACCATCACCTTCCCTTCCCTGCCTGGACTGGCCTCTAGATGTCATTGCTAAATCCAGGGGATGCTTGTGTGACTCCTGTGCCACCTGAGCACTTTCAGGGTGGCTTCTCGCCATCATGTCTCCTCAGAGCAGTCGCTGGCTTGGAGGCCACAGTTATTTGCTGGAATTAAATTTAGGGTCAATATAAAGAAGTTCTGGTTACCCAGGCTCCTTGTGGAACCCATAGGCAGCTGATTCCTAAGTGGCTGTTTGCTAAGGGTGTGTGCCTTCCTGGCACCTCTCTGTGGCCTTTCTGCCATGGTTCTTTTTTTTCTTTTTTCCAGACAGGGTCTTACTATTTAGACTAGGTTGGCCTTAAGCTCCATCCTCCTGCCTCAGCCTTCTAATGCTGGGATTACAGGCACACACCACCATGCTTGCCTTCGTGCTTCGTGCTTCACTTTTGGGTCTGTAAGTTTGGCAAAGAATATTGGTTGCTCACAAAGAGAACCAAAACCTTTTAGGGTCCTAATTTCTACCCTGCCCTCATCAGAACTCAGACTTCCCTAGGTGGAGGCAGGTGAGCAGAGCATAGGCTGCAGAACCGGGGGTCAAACCTTTTTCCAATGGATGGGTAAGTTTCTATCCTCCTCTGCCTTTCCTTTCAGGGAGGACTTGGACCAGGAGGAGAAAGCCAAGTTTGGAGAATACTGCAGCAGCAAGGATGGGAAAGGTCGAGAGTGGTTTGCGCGCTATGTCAGCGCCCAGGTGAGTGGCAGGAAGCAGAGGGGAACCAGGGGATGCATAACCAACTCCCAGTTCCTTCATTTTCTCACAGTTCCACTGGCGGGGGTGGGGAGGAGCGGAGGGAAACAACACAGCAGAAGGCCAACAAGAGACATGTGAGAAGGGCATTTAGATCAGGAGGGTGGCAGGGTTGGTGGGACACCTTGCTCCAGAGAGGAGTGAGGGGCTGTGTTGTCCACCAAGTTCCAGGCCAGCCTGGACCTCCTGCATAGCTGGGATGACAGACATGCACCATCACACCCAGCTTGTGACTGAGATGGGGTCTCACTAACTTTTTTGCCCTGGCTGGACTCAACTTGCATCTCTGCCTCCGTAGTAGCTGGGATTACATGTGTGAGCCACTGGCACCCAGCTAGAAAAGCTCGTGGGTTTTTTGTTTTGGTTTTGGTTTTTTCAGACAAGCATATGGGTTGTCTGTGTATATTTTTATTAAATAACACTGATACTCAGTTTTTGCAAAAGATAATACATTCAAGACAATGAAAGTCATGTAAAGAAAAAGGTACTAACAACAAATTGTGTAAGTATCCAGTAGGTTCTTTTTTCTAAGTTTTAAAATCATGAGTATATATATTATTTA